CCAAAATTCTAACATATAATCATTACCATCACCCCAGAAAGTTCTCTTATGCCTCTTCCCAATCAGTTCTCCTCTAGATGCAACCACTTTTCTGAATTTTTCCATCATAGGTCATTTTGCATTTTCTAGAATTGCATATGAGTGGAATCTTACAGTATGTATTCTTTCATGTCTGGCTTCTTTTATTAAGTATAATGTTTTTGATATCCATTCATGCTATGGTCCCTATCAGTAGTGGCTTTCTTTTTCTTGCTGATTAGTATTACATTGTATGAATATACCACATTTTGTTTATCCATTCTCCTTTTGATTGACAGCTGGGCTTTTTCCACTGTTGGTTTTCTTTTTTTTTTGCTATTATGCATAAAGCTGCTATAACCATTCTTCTAAAAGTCTTTTTGTGAATTTAATTTCTCTTGGTTAAACAACTCAGAGTGAAATTGCTGGGGATCAAGGTGGGTGCTTGCTTAGTTTTGTAAGAAACCGCCAGACAGTTTCAAAGAGGTTGTACCATTTTATATCCCACAAGCAATGTGTGAGAATTCTGGTTGCTCTACAGCTTTGTCAACATCTGGTGTTGTCAGTCTTTAATTTTTAACCAGTTAATTAGTATGTTGTGGTGTCTTATTGTGATGTTAATTTGTATTTCTTTGATGACGAATGATGTTGACTATTTTTTCATGTGCTTATTAGCTATTTATTTTTCTTCCTTTGTGAAATGTTTGTCCAAATCTTCTGCCCATTTTTAATTGGTTTATCTTTTTATTATTGAGTTGTAGGGGCACTGTTTTTTTATTGGGGTATCATTGGCATAGAACAGTATATTAGTTTCAGGTATATGACAGAATGATTTGGTCTTTGTATATATTGCAAAGTGATCACCACAATAAATGTCAGTAATATCTGTCACCATACATAGTTACAAAACATTTTTTCTTGTTATAATTTTTGAGATTTATTCTTAGTAACTTTCAGATATGCAATACAATATTATTCACTATAGTCACCATGCTGTACGTTACATCCCTGTGACTTACTTATTTTATAATGGTAAGTTTGTACCTTTTGACTCCATTCACCCACTTCACCCACTGTCCACCCCCCAGTAGGGCTCTTTGTATATTCTGGTTACAAGTTCTTTGTCAGATAGATGTTTTATGGATATTTTCTCTCAGTCTGTGGACTGCTGCTCATTTTATTTACCGTGTGTTTTGATGAATTGGTTTATCTTTGTACCCTTTGCTATCTCCATTCATGGCTGCAACTTGATAATATTTTCTGAATGAAAGAGCTGAAAGTTGTCCCTTCCTCCTGCCTATAGGTACCATAATGCAAAAACGTACTGCATGCATAACGAGAAAGGGATGGTTAGGGGAGCTTTCTTAGGTTGGAGGGTGAGAAATCTGAGATGATATTTAAACTGAGAACAGAATGACAAGAAGCCATTTTTTTTTTTTTCCTGGGGAAAGGGATTGCAGGCAGAGGGAACAGCTAATAAAAGGGCCCTTAAGGAACCCTTAAACACTGTTGGTGGAAATATAAATTGGTATAGCCACTATGGAAAACAGTATGGAGCTTCCTCAAAAAATCAAGAATAGAACTACCATATGACATAGCAATTCTACTTCTGGGTATTTATCTGAAGAAAATAAAAACACTAATTTGAAAAGACACACACACCCCATGTTCATTGCAGCATTATGTAATTGCCAAGGTATGGAAGCAGCATATGTGTCTATCAGTGGGTGAATTTCAGAAAAGAAGATGTGGTTTATATACACAACAGAATATTACTTAGCCATAAAAAGAAAGAGATCTTGCCATTTGCAACAACATGGATGGATCTAGAGGGTATTATGCTAAGTGAAATAAGTTGGGCAGAGAAAGACAAATACTATATGATTTCACTTACATGTGAGCTCTAAAAAACAAAACAAATGAATAAGCAAAACAAAACAAAACTCATAGATAACAGAGAACAGATTGGTGGTTATCAGAGCAGAAGGCGGTTGGGTTGTGGGCAAAAGGGTGAAGGGGGGTCTGCTGTATGGTGATGGATGGCAACTAGATTTATTGTGGTGATCCCACTTTGTAATATATGCAAATGTCAAATTACTATGTTGTATACCTGAAACTAGTTTAATGTTATATACCAGTAAAAAAGAAATAAAAATAAAAACAAAAAGACTTAAGAAATATATTTTAAAAAATGGCCCTTAGGGTAAGTTGGGGCTAGGCACAAACTATCCAACATATCCCCTTTCAGGCGCCCTAAGGTCTCAGGGGTTACTTGCTTTAAAATTATCACAACTGGAATAAGCTGATGCTATAGTCTTACTCTTTCTTAGTACTGCAGTACTTAGCAGTTTCTCAACACCCTCCTTGTCTTCTCCAAGCCCCCAGGTCCTAGGTTCCAAGATGCTTTGAAGCTAGGAATTGTGGATTAGTTAACACAATGGTCAACAGGGTTAAGGCTAAGTCAGGATATTATTTTCCACTCAAAGGTGACCAAGTGATTGAAGAAGTAAATCAAGGTTTGCATAAGTAAAAAGTAACTACATTTATCTTTATAAAACAGCAAGCTATGAAATGTTCCACCTTTCTGCTTTTTACATTTAGATTGTATAATGTAAAACTTTTTCAATACAGTATCAACTCAATAAGTGGAATATAATTTATTTTTGAAATTTTTCCCAGTTTAGGGAGAGAGAGAAGACAAGATGCCGGGAAGGGATAGTGGAAGAAGGAGATACAGAGAGAGTCAAATAGAATGAAACACATAGGTGAATAAATGGAGGTCTGTTGACCAAGAGGAGGAATGTCAGAGTCCTAGAGGGAGGTAGAGATGCTGAGGAAAAAAACAAAACAAAACAAAAAACACCTGGGTGAAGGAGAAGCCAGAAGTTAAATCGGTTTTGTGTGAGTGTATTCCTCTAGTAATATTTAACAAACGCCTTTCTTCTGTGTTTCCCTTCTGATCCATAGTCTACATTAATGCCAAATTCTTCTCACAGTTTCTTTACGTTATTTCCTTCCACCAGACTGATTTTTCTCTAGTCAAAATGCAGAGATTCTTTAAGCTAATAAAATAACCTCCAGTGCCCATTCTCCCATATTTCAGATGAGAAGTTATCTCCAACCATAGTCATGCCTTCTGGTCATAATTGTTGTGACCCTTCTCGAGGCAAGCTTCACATCTACTGTCAGGATTTTAGACCAAAAAGGAAAAAAAAAAAGTATGGTTCTGAAAGAACTTATTTTAAGTGGAGGTAGTATATAACTGAGTGGGTCAAAGCAGGCCCCGTGGAGACCAGCAAGCTCCATCTGAAAATCACAGTTCATCTGGCCAGTGGTTTGCTGGACTCTGATAAAGGTCTAAGGAGTACAATTAGCCAGAGGTAGTGCCTGTGGTTTGCTGGGCCCTGCTCTGGTCAGAACTGATGGAAATAGGGCATTGATAGATTTGGCAATATCCTAAAAGGAGTGAAATGGATGGCTGCTTCCTAATACTTTCCACTAGGAAAAGCTCAACTGAGGCTAGAGAAATAAAAGCAGCCCCATTTGCAGGACTGGCGGCTAGAAATTCAATGTGTATATGTACCCAAGGAAACACTTGGTCAAAATATATAGCTAAACTGATCAGCCATGGACTGAAGATGTATGTTATAATAAATGGAACATTACAGACTGGACTATTGCAGGAAAAACAATCTGGTGAAGGGAGATAAGAAAAGAAATCAATGAAAGAAATTTAGCAATTCATGTAGGACATGTACCAACTCGTCAGAACAGGAAGACAGAATGATCTATTTAGAGTAAAAGAAGAGACAATCTGACCCCCAAAACTAATGTGGACTCTACAGTCCTGGGGACTCCAAGTCCCAACTCAACTCCCTTGTCAGTTCAATTTAAGGTCACAGAATGGGCCCGTGAAGCCTCATGGCATTTGGACATGAATGTCCTAGGTAAGCAGAGGGGAAAGAGTGGGGGAAAATGTATGAATCAAACAAACAAGTGAGTAAGCGATATGAGACATGTCACATTACTAAAAACTTGCATCTTCAACAACTCATTTTTTTCTTTTTTAAAAAAGATTTTATTTATTTGCCAGAGAGCGAGCGAGAGCGCACAAGCCAGGGGAGCAGCAGCAGGCAGAGGGAGATGCAGGCTCCCCTTGAGCAGGGAGCCTGTTGCGGGAGTTGATCCCAGAACCCTGGGATCATGACCTGAGCCTAAGGCAGACGCTTAACCAACTGAGCCACCCAGGCGTCCCAACAAACTCATTTTTAAGAGGAGTGGGGCATGTTAAACCAGACTAATGTGTGAAGTAGATGATACTGGGCCAATCTTTAGATTTTTAATTAAAGAATACTACCATATAGAAGTATAAACTTCCTCAGGAAGAGGGTTTGCAGAGCACACCAGACATGCAGATGAGAATAGTATGTTAATGGCTTTAGACAAAATTGAAGGAACTAGCTGCTAGATATGCAGTATTGGCAGTAATAGGAAATGACCAAGGAACTACTTTTATTTCAGAGGTCCAAAATTTGGCAAAAGACACAGACTGTGGAACTTTCATTTCACACATTCCCTAGGCTGCAGGGCCAATTGGAAACCTTAATGAATGGAAGACTTAAAACACAGAAAGAATTTAGCAGCACCAGATATAAATGGCAATGAGGTAAAGTGCTAATAAAGACAGACTTAATTGAAAGACTCTGAATGAATGTAACCTCCTCAATAGAAATGTTCAAGAAAGATGGACAAAAAACCTATGCTCACTTTATTCTCAAATCCTCTAAGAAGAGAGAAAGATGAGAAGTGTGAAGAAAAGAGAGCATGAGTAGTATATCCTCATAAGGCCATCCAAAAGGAGGATCGGTAACTAGGGATACTCTTTCAACCTTATCCTATAGCCAGAACCTGTAGGACAGATAAAGGCTCAAGAATAATAATTTTTATATTTCTCTTTTCTATTATTAGATCTGCTTTGCTGTTTTCTTTTGGCGGTGGGAATCTCTCTGGTGGTCATTATAATAGCAGTTTACTGCCAACACAAACAAGAGCATCGTATGTTAAGTTTTGTGGGAGGTTCACCAACTTTATCAAAAAGTGCTGTAGGACCACTGGCCTCATTCTGTACTTGATCATATCAACAGCTTCATTTCTCAGCCAAACCAACCATAGAACCATTGCTAGCCCCATAGGATCCATTATCACCAAGAGCCCATTTGCTACAGCTTTCAGTAATATTTATCTACTGAGGAGATCGTTGAGGCATGGAGTCTGTGTCCATCCCCGTGCTGATTACTGGACTTGTTGATTGTGTAGCCCAGTTAATAAGAATAGCTGAAGAGCTTGTACAGCTGATTGCACAAGAACAAGTTCCTTGTGTAGAGCCAAATTGTGTAGAGCAAAATGATAGAGCAGAAGAGATAGAAGTGGGTGCATCTCCTGAGGAATCTTCGCTCCCAGACCTTGCTGATTTCTCAGACTTAGACTCAATACTTACACCAAGAGAAGATGAAGACCTAATCCTTGACATAGATCAAGCGATGTTAGATGTGGAAGACTTATATGAAGATGTACTCTCCAGTGTAAATGAGGACCTAAGAAGTGGTTAAGACCTAATTGGCCCCCAGCAGCATGTGAGCAGTGATTGTTTTTCTGTTTTAAATAGATTCTGATTTTTCTGAGTATTAACAATGTTTGTTTTCTCCTAGTTCTGTACATTTTCATTACTAATAGCTTATAGAACAAGTAATACTAGATTTACTTCCAGTAGAAGCTGGTCTCTTTTCTTCTTTATATTTCTTTTAAAAGCTCTGACTTTAGCCATATGGCTCTTTCTCTACCTGTTCTTGTTCTCCTGTTGGGGTTCCTAATAACAGAAGCAAATAATACCAAAAAAAGAAACTCCTCACCTAACAATGGAGTGAAGACCTCATGGACTCTATCATGTGTTGGAACCCAGTGTCATCATTCTGCGAATGGAAACCAAAAGGAGAATATCCCCCAAGATGGTATTGTAATGAATACATCACACTGACAGGACAGCGTTGGGACACTTTTATTTGAAAAGATGTAACTCCTCACTAGGCCTTTAGGAGAGGATGTGTCAACCAAAGAATGCTAGAGCAGACTAGGGGAAGCAATTCTGAAAAAGCACCATCTATCAGATAATAAAACTGTAGAAAGGTTTTCAGATAACTTTTGCCAGGGAGAAACCTTTGAAAAAGCTGAGGCCAAGAGGTTCCAATGCAGGATTATTCCCTCAAATGATGACCCACACTACAACTAGTCTTCAATATTGTTCCCCAAATGGAAAGGACGAATTACATCAAATAACAATGAGAGGAGTAGTAGTACTACTAACAGGTCTAAACAGAGCCCCATGAAGAGTGTTCACCAATGGAGTCAAACCCTTATGGCATTGGCTCAGATGTGATGGTCCACAAATAGAAGTGGATAAAGTGTATCTTCTTGGGTATAGCTAGATTTATAAAGAATAGCTGATAGGCTTATTATAGGGTACCTGTTGCCACCTGGACATAGAAATCTTAACTGTTGACAAATGGGAGCAATAATGAATTTGAATAAAATATGGACTGGTATTTAGCCCTAATAATTCTACAAATACCAGAAGGCTAAAATGCAATAGTTGGAGGACCCCCCTCCCCATATCAAAATAGAAAGAGACCCAATAAATGTGTGGGAAATTCACTGCTCATACTAATTCCATGCCATATAGTAATCTTGCTTCCATTTGGAAAAATAGCTACCCTTCAGACAAGCCCATGGACACTATGGTCCTCCTTCCCAGAGAATGGCATTTGCATCTTAACAACGTTGGCAACAACTAGGTAAAGGCATAGTAGTAGTTAGGGCAAATTGGCGCATTCAAATTGTGAAGAAATGACATGTGGAAGTTAATCCATGCTGGTGGAAACCAGAATATACCCAATTCGTATAGAGTTCTAAAGCATGTTATTAGCAAATAGATTAAAAATACGTTGAATACAGATAGATTCATAACTAACCAACATGACAGATGCTGCATCTAATCCTAAGTGAGGTCTACATACAGGGATAATTAGCTGCTTTTTAAAGGTAAACGTGGGGGAAATTAGAGATCTGATGTGGATAAGCAGTGGCAGGAGAAACAAAGTCAATTTCACCACTGAATTTCAGGGTGAGTATATGTAACAAATTAAAGAAGGAGACTGCTGTATCAAAAAAAAAAAAAAAAAAAGCTACCACAGATCCTTTTGAAAATGAGAGGCACTTAGGTAGCTACTCAAACATGTTGTTATGAGAAAGTTCCACAATAGACTGCTACGTGGGGTAGATGAGGATCCGGGACACTTAAATGGGTGCACAAAAACACAAAGAGGAGAAATAGAAGTTCTATCATCAAGCAGCTACCGTGGGTAATTACAAGCCAGACCAGACAGCAGATTGAGGGACCTCACTGCTGTACTAATTGGACAAATTGAGCCTTACTTTCCTAGGGTAGGGGACTCTAGCTATTGCAGTATGTCCAACCAAGAAGAATCACAGAGGAATTGGAAAAAAGTTAAAAGATAGAATCTGTGCCTTAATTAAAGTTTTGGAAACAGCTGGGAAGATATATACTCTCCACTAGGAATTTGGACTTTAGGAAATTGGCTCTAATTTTGTGCCAAAATAAAACCCAAAGCAGGAGTACTTGGGCAAGATCAGGAAACATCCAAGGAGAGACCATCAGTCTGCTACAAATTCTATTTAGCGAACAATTTCACTGTAAATGGACAGATCTGGTGCTCTTCAAATATGATTGATACCGAACGGTAGCTGTTCCCCTATGTAGAACTCTGGAATATAGATGTTATAACAGATTAGTGTGAGCTCATTAAAACTGTTAATATTAATGAGAGAACACAAGCAAGCATACTAACTAAAGCTGGCCATCAAAATACATCAAGAGAAATCTGTGGGACTACTCCAGACCTTGAAACAAGATAAAGCTTGAACCAGCCCTATAAAGCAACTAATGCTCAACATGGTCCTTATGTGTCAAAGCTGGAAGATGCTACAACCTCATAATATGTGAAGCTGGCTAGCCTCCTGGCAGATGAGTCATGTGGAAAGATTGTACTACAATGGCACCTCAGGATTAGATAAAATATATTGGATGTTTGCTTTGATTGTGTGATTACATGTGTTTAAGAACTGTTAAGATGTAAACCCGCAAAAAAAAAAAAAAAGATGTAAACCCGCAAAAAAAAAAAAAAAAAGATGTAAACCCGCTCCAAACAATGAGTTGTTATATTAAGTATGATTAGGTTGATAGTGGTAAGAAGTAAGTATAGGCAATAATAAAATACTTAGGAATAAGAGCTAGTAAGGAAATATTTTCAGGAGAGAGTGATAAGAAGTAAGTGTAGGCAATAATAAAATACTTAGAAATAAGAGCTAGTAAGGAAGTATTTTCAGGCGAGAGAAGAAAAGCAGTAAGTTGTATAGAATAGTCATGCAGCTATTTAGGATGGTAAGCCATGGTATAGAGTTAGTTCCTAAGCAGGTTTATGAACAAAGCCGTGCTTTTATCCTATGCAGATCAGCCAACCCTAAGTCGTTGATATTGATAGAAATAGCTGGTTGGCGATCCACACAGGTCATGCACTTAAAAGCCCAATTAGAAGGAGATATATTACTTAACTTGGCAGTCCACCTATTGGATACCTCTGATTGGAATCCTGGATTTCTCCTCCAGGAGAATGGAGAGAATGGCTGGTCCTTTATTTAAACTAGCCCTTTTCTGGATCTTCTTGAGACTAACACCAAAGCCAGTTCTTGTATGGCACGGAGGGATAGAGAGGGAGACAGGCTCGTCATTCTGAGACAAGCTTGAGGGTGTGAAAACCAAGGGAGAAAAGTTGGGAGATGGCAATGAATTGGGAAGCATTAGTCTTTATCCTTGGGTGTTTTGGCTAACTTGCTTGAGATGTTGCGACTACATAATTGTATCCTTATGTGATGATTAATGCCAGACATTAAATTAGAATTGAATATCATCCTTGTTATTGATCCACACCGTTTTATTGCTATGTGCTTTAACAGATTTTAACTAATAAACTTTCATTCATAAATCAAAGAACTTGTGTTCATCTTAAATTACCTGGTGGTGAATTTGGAGGTCCCAAACGAGCATAAAAGAAGCCCACGTGGCAGAAGATGGATTACACTCAGAGACAGTATTGTACCAGGAGTTGAAAGTTCTACTTCTGGCTTTGTCAGATAATCCTGAACAAATCTCTGAAATATAGTCCTTTTTTGTTTGTAAAATGAGTTATAATAATTTTTCTGTCTACCTTCAATGGTAATAAGGAAGAAATACAGTAATAAAATTTTCAAAGACTTTGGTATAATATATCTGACAATGGGACAATATATGAAATCAGGACTTTTTAGGAATATCTGAAAAATGTCTGTATGACAATACCTGAGAGTCTGTGTGACATGTAAAGATTTTCCAATAGTTTTACACCTGTTTTCTAAGAGATTAGAGCTTTCTTCTTTTATTCCATGTGAAAGTTGTAGATTGGAATCAGCTTTTGTTTCACTCTTCTGGGCTTTTTTTTTTTTTTTTTTAAGCACCTAGTTAGATTCTTTGTGGGAGTCCACTCCAGTGCAAGTAGGAATAGTAATGAGGAAAAACCAACAATGAAAAAGCCTTCCAGGAAATAGTAAATTATATTCCACTAAGGCTAAGATTTTGTTCCTGAGGGGGTTATGTAATTCTGAACACTACTAACCCACTCTTACCCAATTAGATTTTTACAATGATTTTTTTTACATCAAAGTTGACTATTGTGTTCTTTTTTTTTTTTAAGATACTGATTCATTTGAGAGAGAGAGCAAGTGAGAGAGAGTGTGAGCATGAGTAGGGGGATTGAGCAGGGCAGAGGGAGAGAGGGAAGTAGACTGCCTGCTGAGCAGGGAGCCTGACACGGGGCTCGATCCCAGGACCCTGGGATCATGACCTGAACCAAAGGCAGATGCTTAACCAACTAAGCCACCCAGGCACCCCAACTATTGTGTTCTTGTATTGATAGACTTATTTCAATAGACTAGAGGTATTGAGCCTTTGTATTGGGTATATACTTATTTTTTCAAGGACCCTATTCTTCCAGTCCATATTTAAAACTTGTTTTTCTTCTGCCTATATAACCCTTAGCTCACAAGCCAGTCAGCCAACCAACCACAGCCAACCAACCAAACAACAAAAACATAAAAAAAAAAATAACCTCTAGTTCCTTTAGTTATTTGGGAGTTATTTGTATTGACAGATACAACCATCCATCAGTCTTAAATGTCCCGTCTCTTCAGGGTAATAACGAATCTTTGGAGGTGATCTCCATTATACCTCTGAAGGATGGAACTGCGTTTTAGCAAGGTAAGAAAAACCACTGAATCCTTTACCCCTTGTCACAACTGCATTTTAAAAACCTTAGTAAAATGCTGAAAGCATCTCAAGAGGGATTTTTGAGTTTAACATAAGTATTCATATAAAGTGGACTAGGGAGCCACAGTTATGAAACATGACCTTAGTGTTTTAGATTCCTTTAATCAAAGATGCTAGTAACAATAACAGTTCATT